GGCCGTGCCCCATCCGATCACTTTTATTCTTTGTCATTTCAACAAAGACATTCTAGCAGATATAGCTATAGTTCTCAATCGATCGCGCCTCAGCCTGTTGTCACTCTTGGCTCTTTTATTAGAAGTTTCTCATTAATCGGACTCAATAGCATTGCAAAGTGACAAGCAGTGGACTAATGAAATCCTCTTTATAACTTATTGTTGTGCTGTCCACTCATTTCTCTGAGACTGTCTGGTTCTCTATAGGAAGGAGCATCTCATTAAAAGGTAGCTGTAGGCGCTTCACTTTGGAGAGGCTTGATGGGCTCCCTTTGAGAGGCATTAACCATCCCTCAACTCGGTTTTGATTCAGTCATTTCCACTCTACAACTCCTCTTGTTAGAGCAGACTGGGTCTAATCAATCCTCTGAGGCTCTCACTGATCATATACATGCTCACACACGCAACATGTCTCCTTTTTTTACCTCTTAATCTTAGTCCAAGTTCTATTTAGTTAACCAGATGCTTTAAATGATTCTTGTATTTTGATGATTATTATTTTGCCTTGGATTAGTCATTGTTAAATTTTGTATTTTGTATCTGTTTGACAAAGCCTTTACATTGGTGTTTAATTTAACTGAAAGGTCCTCATTGTAGGACACATAAAGGTTCTCTTATCTGATTTAGTTTAACTTGTGGTGTCAAAATTATATTATAAAAAAATATAAAATATTAAACATAGTCACATTATCACATTTGTGCACTTTGAATAGGCTCTATTCACACTTGCCGTAAGATGTTTGAAAACATGCGGATGACGACTTCTGGTGTAATTACCAACACAGGGCACGTGATAAAACCATGGATTCAGCAGCAATGTCTTCACAACCTGCCAAAGCTTTCCATGGAGGATGTGACTCTCATCGCACTTACAGGCAGCTGGTAGTAACTGCCGAACATAACAGAAAAATTACATCTTTTTTTTATTTTTTATTTTTTTTATTGGCCAGATACACAATACACAAGTTAATAGACAGTTTATAAAAGGAAAAAAGAAAGAATACAATGACATGTAGATGAAGAAAAACGCGCCATTTTCCCAGTTTTTCCCAGATTTTGTCAGAGTTGCTATCGCCAACAGAGCCCAAAGGAAGTCATTGTCCGCATGTTTCCAAACGTTGTGAGGTAGGCGTGAATAGAGTCTACAGCTACTGACACGTGTTAATGGGCGAAGCAATAATTTGAGTGACTCTAACACAGGTCCAATGGCAAAAAGTGCAGTGGTTAGTTGTTTAAATTATCCATGTTAAAGGGTGTAAAATCAATCGGTTCACATAATAAAATGAGTCTTGCCTTAGAACAGATATATTGTAAAAGCAGCTCTTAGGGTCAACAGGGTTTTGGTTAAGGTTTACTTGTAAAATAACAATGTCAGAAAACAGGGCTGTGGAAACATAAGCCTTTTTTACATTTGGCTGTAGAAACATAGGAACGTGGGAACAGTTTACCCTCAGTAGATAAACTAAATATCATAAAATTGTTATTTGCTTTGATTTATGTGTTATTTAACAGTTTTGCTCATTGAAATATTTTAGTAGCAGCTGACAAGATAATGCTATAATAAACTGAAAAGCCACAAAAGCAGCCAGTAAAGGATGGGCGTACAGTCACTTAGCTTAGCTCAGCGAACATGCTCAGGGTCACCCCAAACACAGACTGCATTAGCATGGCTTACTCTGCTCATAATCAGCTCATATTCAGCCCCATGTTTGTTTTTGCCCTTCTGAATGGCCTCTACCGTCTACTAACTAGACTGAATTTAATTTTCAGTACAGTCACTCTGCATAAGAAAACACTACAGGTTACAGTGTGAAACTTAATGGGGTGGTGTTTTGAAATCTTGCAAAATAGGCAAGGGCACTGTCGAAAGGACTCCCAAACCAGTTTTATACATGTTCACAGTTTAAAGATATTTACCATGTCTGTATGATCCTTTACAAGGATCAATAATGATTACAAATATACCTGAAGAAATTACCCTATTGTTTAGTGTTGTTGTCTCCCAATATTTTTGAACTATTATTGAAATGAAAATCAGTAATGGTATACTTTTGTTTTGATGTGTATGATTGCAGGTCAAATCCAGGATGTGTCACTGGGCCAAGACGATACAGCGCCCCCTCAGGTGGAAGTGGGTCCTGAACTCGACCTGGAGGTAGTCCCCGAGTCCTCTGGAGACTGGCACAATGTCTTCTCCTAAACACTGTAGAGTTATATCAGTGCTGACTGTGGCCAAAAAAAAAAAAAAAACTCTAAAGAAGACGTTTATGGATGAGCTGCACTGGGGGCACACCTTTCTCAGGTTGACATTGAATTTAAGCAACAGATTTGTTTACATTTTAATATAGATAACAAAAAGGTTTAACTCAAAGACATTTGAAGGTTTTGATCAACTGGTGCGGAAATATTTGCTATATAAAATATCTAATCCCATTCCATACAAATTCATATTGTCAAAAATGGTTGGGTATCCATTTCAACTGAATTCTTTTGTATTCATTTGCAGAATTTTTATAAAAAATATACATACTATTCTTAAAAATGAAATGTAAAAAATCTGTTGCTAAACTCTACGTCTGACAATAAAGAGAAAGTTTATCCAAATGGAAGGAGAGTCTGCCTTCTTGTAATTGGCTTAATAACAGCTATAAAACTGTGATTGCCTTAGTACGGCCAGGCATCACAGCAGCTCCCCTTAAGGACACGTTGACCTGCTAAACAGAGAAAAGTGCACTCACTAACTCTCCACCTCAATAAGTGAGAACAGAGCTGTAACCAAAGTCAGCGAGCAACAAAGGGAAAAGCCACCTCCATGTTTATTGTTTACAACATTAAGTTTACATGTTTGTTCTAAGATTTCAAAAATACTCCTGAGCTGTACCTCATTGGAAAAACATCAACTGTATTATACTTTAAAACACATAAACATTGCTTTGCTGTAGAATTTATTTTGTTAATATGTAAATACTGTAGTTTAAGTATGTATATTTGTATATTTTTTCAGCTTAAGCAAAGTTTTGTTTTGAAGGAATGTACAGTCAAAAAGTTGTTTATTTTTTTTCTTTTTTTGCTGTTGTTTTTCTATTGGCAATATTTAATTAAGAAAATTAAATATTTTTACATAAGCTAAAAGACTTCTGTTTGTCATTAAAAATAGACTGACGCCCAGCTGATGTTGAATTGCAAATGCAGTCTAATAGTTTCTGTAGAAGAAGTACTACTGCAATATTACCAGCCCATTCCACTGGAGGTTAACGTCTGCCTCAGTGATATGGGGGGATTCATTTTTTGCATCTGCATTGGATCTATATTTCCTTATATTTTTCTCATTTTGTTCTCAGTGTATCAGTTGTGTCTTTTTTAACAGACTTAAGTGAGTGAGTTCAAATGAAAGAGCATTGCAGCTGAAGAGGAATCTGTATGTTTACACAACCATCATGAAAAAGTACAATTATTTTTACAGGACCCCAGGAAGACTAGCTTGTCCTTGGCTACAGTTAATGGGAATCCTAATAAACAAACAAACAAAAGTGAAACATTATGCATTTTATAGAATGTTTATATCTGTAAATATCATTTATATACCACAACAAACAGCAGGAGTTCTTGGTATCATCTGAAAACTCATACAAACTCTGCCTGTTAACTCCCTGGTGCCTGATTGAGTGGTTTAATGTTCTTTAGTTACAAGTCAAAAGTCTTTTAGTGCTGTTCTAATGGTTCTTTCACAGTGCGCACTGTGTCCTGCAGCGATTCTCTCAGCAGCAGAGTTAAACAAATGAATCATGCGTAAGGACCCTGGAGGCTATAGCTCCATCACTGGGACAGAATAATCTCATATGTATAGTCTTATATTGAGGGGAAAAGAACAAATGGGACTGACTAAGACTTTTATTTACTCTGAATAAATATGACACAAGAGACTAGCTGCCCAGAACAACACAAATGCCTGTACATTATCACAAAGTTGTTGTAATAGTTCACAAAAGTATGGTAAATAGAGATGGCGTCTTAGTAGTTATAAATTGAAAAGAAGTAAAGCTTCCCATACATTTGAGAGAAAATATTTGTACTTTCTACTTCACTGCATTTTTTTACTGGACTGAAAAGTTAAAGTATTTTTTATTATTGTCTGAGGCCTGCTGAAAAGGCACAGGTTGTATTTTTTATTTTTTTTTATTCATAATTTCAGTAAGCAAAAACTATACAAAGAAAAACAGCTCAGATTCAGCACAAAATCAGTACTTTTAGATCTAGAATCTGTGCAAAATACCTTTTTTTTTTTTACTCTTCTACATTTTTAAACAGGTATTTTAAACATTTACTTAAGCAGATTTTTTTCATGTGATACTTTTACTGTTTTAAATATTTTTTGCTCCAGTATCTGTACTACAAAATGTAGTATTTCTTCAACAGTTCTGTGGTGGAAGAAGTCCTGGATTTAGTTTTTTAATCGAGATGCTTTGGCTGCCATCATGGATCTATAATAAATACTTTTGATTTTATTATAGTCCTATGGCTGCCATCTGGAAGCCATCAATCTGAAAGTACTGGTATGAGAAGCTAGATTTTATAAGGGGAGGAGAAATAGTTTGGAAAGTGAACACATTAAACTTTGCCCATATTGCAGTACTCATCTACTCTGCTCCCCTTAGAGTCCTCTTCTTCTCCTCAGACCAGAACTTTCAGATTTATAAATGCTTCCTGGTGACAGTTTAATGTCTTGATTTAACAAACACTGTCCCTATTCCTTGCCCTATAAACCTGCACTAATCAGTATTACAACACTTAGCTGGTATATTATCAACTCTGAAGTACCTTATAAAATCCTATCTGGGCCTAGATAACATAATGCTTCATTAATCTTGTGTCTATGTGGTTGTGTTCTGACCCACTGACCCACTGACCATCTCCATCGCTCTTGTTCTTTATGGTTCAGTCACATCCAGGGAACAAAACACACTTCACTCGAGTAGGTTTTATCATTTTTATTTTTTTATTATCCGTTAAGTGGCTGGTCATGTTTATTACACTTAGAATGATGGGAAAGGGTGGATTTACATTCATTCTTATTGAAAAACAGCACGACTCAAGCACACACAGACATGAGAGAGACAAGGATCACGTATGCATTTTGAAAAGTACAGTACATAGTAGTGACGGTACTTAAATTGTATATATATTTCAGTATTTCAACTTTCTCATTGGACAAAAAATACTTTATCAAATATGGAGTTAGTCACATTGAGCACCATGTTGAAAATGTGTTTGAAATATCCTCTATGGGAAATTCCTTACTTTGGTAAAAATCTTTTTGCATAGTAGCCAAACGATACATATACTGAACATACAATTAATAATGTAAAACGTTTACCATGCACATTATAATTGGCCTGGACAGAATATGTACAATAATATTAGTGTTTTATCCAGATCAATCAGTTTTTTTTATTTTTTTTTATCTTTCCCAAAATGTATTTAGAAGTTTTAGACAAACCCACTCAAGTCACATCCAGTGGACGCCCTAACAACACTAACGACATAAAAAGACAAAGACATACTAATTACAAAGGGATATTGACTATTATGGCTCTCTCTGCTTTGTAAAATAGTTAGCCAGAAATATTCAGGATAAAATGATATATATATATAGACACAGACAACAAGACAGGACATAAAACCGCTCTTTGCTCATAGAAATGCACTGGACGTTTCCTCCCATCTTCAAGAGGCAATGACGGTCAAGTTTCATAGCTTGCAACCGGCCTTATAACCTTCAAATTCTCCAAGCACTTATCCATTGAGCCAGACTGTGTTAGAAAAATCGTACATTTACAATAAAGCAAAGACTGAGATATTGAGAGAGCCACGGCAGGGGTCACGGGGGGGGGGGTCATTCAGGCTGCACTTGCGAGCGGCTACAGGGCGTGCTCGGGGCATAATGGGACAATGGAAGGAATTAGCATAACATGAAACAGATTGTGTCGCTTATTACCAGCCAAAACGGAGCAAAGTTAGGAGGTTACAGTTGGATAGAAGGTTGTGAGTGCAGAAAAGGTAGTGACAGTTGGACATTTCTTCTCTGTTCCCCTCTTTGTACGGTGGGGTCCGATGGCACAGACAGGGTGGAGAGGCCTCAGCGTTTGGATGGAGACGCGCTCCGGCTCCCCTGCACAACAAGGACAGCTTTTGTAATGGGTGACGCACACAGCAGCAGGCCTGATAATGACGGTGTTATTAAGTGATTAGTATATTCACCCCTAACTGTCCAAAGGCTTTTAGCTAAGAACACGAATAAACAGACAGGAACTGCACTGTTTTTGTTTTTGTTTTTTTGGCAGTGAAATGAAAATGTAAAATTATATATTTAGTTAAGTAAACCATTGTAAACCATTACTACCAAGTAAAATGGTGCAAAGAATAATCAAATAGCATTACATTAATTGCAGAGGTTTGAGAATGTAAAGCTTTTAAAATGAAAAATTCAGACATTAATACTGTCATTCTCTGGATCTCAAGGTCACAGAGACACAAAAATACACACATCTATATAAGTACATATAATACTAACATAATATAACACTAGTATTTACACATCACCTTGGGCAGTGTTCAGTTGAATACATAGCCTAATATATTAAAGAGATCCTAAATTTTAAGTGTTTAAGTTTTACATTCTCATAACACAATGTCAACAGAGAAGCTCCCAAGTCAGTCAAGTCATGCGGGGCTTATTGTACAGCTCCACTAGTCCTGCCCACGCCATCTCGATCCACTATGGAACATTTCTGGTAGAAGGCATGAACACCACGGGCTTCATAAAAATGTTATTACTCTGTTGACACTCCATTACTCTCCACAGGCCAAGTCTGTCCAGTAAGAATGTCTGTTTCAAGGCAAACGCCCATAAGTTGATAAAAGCTGTACAGATACATTATTGGAAAATGCGCTGAGCTTAATGATTTTTTATTGCTGTAGTGTAAACTAAAAGCTCATATTACACTATTTTCTGATCTCTGTTATAATGTTCTTTTCTCAACACAAACATGCTTCGAGTTGTGTTTGGTTTATTCACACGTTTAACACACAAACACTACATATTTATCTCGAGTTCTTCTCTGAATCACTCTGTTCCACATTGTGATGTCATGTGGTAAAACAGGATGTGCCCCACTCAATCTCAATCTCCATCAAACAAAAGGTAAAAGGTAACTGTAAACTTGAAAACTGCCATTACATGACATCACAAGGTGGAGCAGAGCATTTTGAGCTTTTGAGATGTAGTCAGATTAAAGGTTTACTCAAACATGTGAATGAAACAAAACACTATACTGAGCATGTTTTAGTCGCGGTAACAGCGTTATAGCATGGGTTAATGCTCACAAAAGTCTATTTTGCATAATATATGACCTTTAAATTTTCTGAAAAACAAACGAACAAACCCCAGGACTTGAGAAATGGGTAGCAGCGTAGAGAAATGAGATAAATCTTCATGAATGTCATAAGTCGATAATCTGTACTGCGCTGCTGCCTGCGTCTGCATATACAAAATCTGGGCTTTTGTTTAAATCCAGTCAGTTTAGATACATTTCATTATCCTCGGAACTGGCTAAATATCAATATTGTGCAACTGTCCACAGATTTAAATAAAGACAATGGTTAATTAACAGCTAATGGGGCTCTTGAGTAAATTCTACAACAATAGCTGTTTATACGCCAATTAGTCTCACAAATTTCTTTTTGGATGCGTGTTCCGAGATGCCCTTCGCCCCATGTGGTTTTGCTTGTTGTGGCTTAGTGACAACCATTTAGCCTGTTTCTGATGGGGAGACGACCTCTGGGAAATTTGGGTTTGTCTGTGGTTCGATAATTACGAGTCTAACTCATTTCAGGTAGTGTGAGAATGAGTCCGTAATTAAAAGCAGACAGGGGAGACCCAGTGGAGCGTGAAAGCTGCCACTCCTTTTCAAGATGGATGTAAACAAATCAAGTTATAAAACCAAGCTCTGTAAATGAGAAAGTCCTGCCACTGGGAATAGTCAAATCATCTCTGTCTATTAAATTGGGAGTAATACTTGTCTGCAGAACTGGATTTTGCAGACTTACCTGTTTTTTAAATTTTGTTTCAACTAAACTGAACACTCTACTACACTCTCCTCTATTACCTCCATTTGGCAGTACTTTTTTCATAATTTTCAAATTTAATTTTCTTTCCTCCTAACTGACTACAACCTCACCTACAACCTTTATTCTCATAGGCCTAATATTATGCAAAACTGACTCGTGAGCTTCTAGCCATGTTATGACACTATTACCTCATCAAAACATACTTGGAGCAGTCTTTTGTTTTATTGAGTTCTGTTCAATAACCCTTTTTTATTAGTTTGTCTGTCTCCAAAGCTCAAAATGCTCTGTCTCACCTTGTAAATATTATTGTAATATTTCTATATTACCACACGGCATCACAAAGCAGAGTTTTCTGTTTGAGAGAAAAACTCTCTCAACCTAAATATGATGGGTTTGGTGTTAAAAATGTGTGAATGAAACAAAACACAACTGCAGGTATGTTTTTGATGATAACAGATCACAAAATAATGTGTAATATGGCTCTTTAAGTCTACCCATGTCCACTAAAAGACTGTTTAACATCCATATAAAATGACATTAACTACTACATGTTTCTAATTTCCAAAGACATCAGCTACACATGATTTGTGCACATACAATTGAATAATTATAATAGTACAACCAGTGTATTTTATCAGAGATGGAGGCAGTATTCGTCGTCTGAATGGACCTTTTTTCTATACCAAGCTTAAATGCAAATCAGGCAGCAAAACATGTCAAGGCAACGTGACTTTTATGCATGAGTGCATAAACTAAAGGGCTCATTATTTTCTGATTTATGTTATAATGCTGTTTCCTCATCAGAAACATACCCGGAGCTGTGTTTGGTTCATTCACACATAACACACAAATCTTGCATATTTAGGCTGAGTTCTTTTCTCAAACAGAAAACACACAAACAAATCATTTGTGTTATTTCAGTCTATCGATCCCTACTGAACTAAAAGTAAAAGGCATATGTTAACTTGCAAACTATCACTCCATGACATCACAAGGTGGAACAGAGCATTTTGAGCTTTGGAGATGTAGACCAACTAATAAACCAGGGTTACTCAAACATGTGTGAATGAAACCAAACACAATTCCAGGTATATTTTAGAGGAGGTAACAACATTAAAACAAGAAAGCTGAAAGCTCCCAAGAGTCGATTCTGTGTAATATAGAACCACAATACTGATGTAACTTCTGCATGATATTAACCTTGCTTTGAAACCGTCTAACATGCTCGATATCAATATTCATGTGTTTCATTGTTCAATCGAAATCCCTTATGTCATAGTTTCATGCTCAGACATCATAACTTGACCTACATTAGCACTAGTTTAGCATGAGAGCTTGTGAAGAGCCTGGAAGCACCATGACCCTCTTGAACATAGCACGATAAAACATAATGATGTTAGTAAATGTGCATAAGCAATCGCTGGTTGGCCCCCAGCCGATTCCCTCCCAGCACCTGAGCCGACTCTTCGTGCTAGAATTAAGCATCGCCTGTCCACTAAAAGCTCTTTGTTATTCTGCCGCTGCCGTGATGGTAATGAGATTAGGCTACTGTCTAAGTATAAGAAAGACAAGAGAGTTGCCTGCGTCTCAGTTACTCACTCACTTTGTTGTTGTTATCACTAGAGCAGGGAGAAAGAAGGGCAGGGAGTCATTAAAAAGACAACAAATATACCAGAAAACAGGGACTATACAAACTAATCATATGGTACCTACTAATACTGGTACTCCTACTGTATATTTTACCATTTTGAACATCCTAGTCAGGGTCCCTTTGCCGTCTCCTGCAGCGGCCTTCTTGGCTTTTGGCTGTGACTTCTGATCACCCTGAGAAAGTTAAGAAAAAAGGAATAAGTTAGTTTTATTAAAGCTGCAAAATATGAATAGTTATTTTATTAAATTAATTGTATTTTGCAGTATACACTAGTACTTTTGCTCAAGTAAAAGTTGAACTACTATTAATCTTGTGTAATAATAAGCTGGAATAAGCTTTTATTATTAAATATTGGTGTTTCCTTCAGTTATGATTTAGACTTTTTTTTGTGTGTCTATCAATTGAAAAGATCAGATTTTGTGCATTTTTTATAGCAAATTTTGTGCATTTTTTCTTCCAGTCATATTCATTTAACAAATTATGAATTAAATGTTACCTTTAGGCAGTTACTCTTTTAATTCACATATTAAATAGTAATTTCTCCAAAATACGCACTTTTACCTGTGAGGATTAATCCCATATACGGTTTCATAAGAATAAATTGCAAAATACTGGATTGAACATTTATGGATTTATAAAGTTGCAAGAGAAGTCGGAGGACCTGGCAGCAAAGTCTAATCAAATAAGTGTCCTTGTTCTTTCACTGGTAGTGGCTATATTGTAATACGCTGCAGGCTTACTAACACTGTGCAGTCTCTACACCTACAAGCAGCACTCTAATTAGTTTACCACAAGTCTGTTTTCTGTCAGCCACTGCCATTTACCAAGATTTATGTACTTCCTAGGAGCTGATACCAAATGTTCTGTGCTCTTTCGCTTTCACAGCATTTTTATGTAAAATATTAATTTGTCTTTCATCTGTCAAAAATATGCAAATTAAAAAGTACTTCGTATTTTGTTGTTTGCAATTTGATGTGAAAACTAAACAACATTTTTACTGTTCTTTTTTTTTTTTTTTTTTTTTTGTTCTCCAATGCTGATTGCAAGTTCTCAAATTTTGTCACAATTGTACAAAAATAACTTTGATTGTGACTTTTGATTGTGGCAGTACTTCACAAAGAAATACTAAGTGATGACATTTTAGGTCAAATAGCAACAATCCAGGTTAACTGGTTCTTTCCTAAGGACTATGGCCCCAAGATTGGGTAGACAGATTGTCCAGTTTGGGACATTATACTTTTTTTTAGTTGGCCTTTTGATATACACTTGTTTAAACATACACTACCAGTCAAAAGTTTGGACACGCCATAAAATAACACAGCAAAAGTGATAGCTTCAGAGTGTTCTCTTACTTAAAAATACAGAATAGGTGCTCCTCAAGGACAGGGCTCAAATGTGAGCAAACAGTAAAAATGACCGGGCTTTTGATATAAAAACTTACTGTGACAAAGTTTTAAAAAGTAGTCAAAAAGGTCTGAAGTGCCCTGGTAGTGAAGGCAAAAGTTCTTTACTGCTTACATGGGATGAGCCAACACATTTCGACACAGATTGTGTCTATGTCAGGACACAATCTTCACTAACAGGGTGCCTCAGACCTTCTGGACCACTTTTTAAAACTTTGTCACAGTAAGTTTTTATTCTACAAGCACGGCCATTTTCACTGTTTGCTCATACCATTAAATTTTTTTTTTTTTTTTGACAAGGTGAAGGATGGCTACTTTCGGGATTTAAAAATAAAATAAAATAATAAAATATAAAATGTGTTATATAATTCCATATATCTTACTTCATACATATGATGTCTTCTCTATGTTTATAAATTGTACAAATAGTCAAATAAATAAATAAATGAAATCATTGAATGAGATGATGTGCCCAAACTTTTGACTGGTAGTGTGTATGCCTGTTAATGACAGCATAGTTGACAAAGAGAAAAAGCACACATAATGAGAAGTTGGATAACGCTTGTGTTATCATGGGATGAGTTATATGGCGGCAGTGCTGTGAGAAATCTTCAAAATGGACTGCGCTCTGAAGCAAATGAGGCCATTACAGCTGATGTATGGGCAGATTACCACAGCTAAAGTGCTTGATGGACCACGGCCGCTGATGGTAAAAAGCTCTGAATCCAATCCCAAGTATCGCATCAGTTTAATTAGGCATGAGCGGTTGTTTTTTCTTTCTCAGAACCAAACCTACCAGGCCTATCTTGGTGGCTAGTCCTCTCCACTAAGAAGACAAGGAAAGACAAGCAAACACACACAGAAGTAAAACACAGAGGATAGAACGGTAGAAAATGAGAGAGCTTACTCAATGCACAAGGAGAAGTGTAGGGAGAGGTGGTGCAAGGGTCCGTCCAGGAGGGTGGAAGGGGGAGGTAAGGCAAGCACATAACCACAATGAGTAATGGCACAATTAAAGTCAGCCAAGCACAATACACAAAATGCAATTACATTTTTCAGTTTTATCAGAATTTTCTTACTTCACCTGTTTGCGAAATTTGACTGATTTAAAAAGCCGTTAATAGAAATAGCTTTTTGATTTATAGGCTATATTTCATCCTATGCAACTTCAAAACAACATTAATTCATTCTTTTATTATTTTGGCTCTTACCTCTATAGGCATTATTTTATATTGATAGATAAAATGTAATGGAAACAATGCCTTTATTCTCCCTATGTCCTCAGCCTTACAGCTTTGATGCACACAAAATGAGATGTGCAATCATACATTTTAATCACATTTCTTACATATTTTGTACATAGCTTGAGAGGTAGTTACACTGCAAACTTCTCTGATCTGGCCAAGATTTTAAAACTTATATCAGGTTATTCATCTTGTTTACAGGTTTATGATCTACTTACTAGTTCTGAGACTGCTTCATTCTAGTCTAGAGTTCGTTTATTTTAAGAAAACTTGTCAAGTAAAATTATCTTGCTGCATGGACAGATAATTTCACAACTTTGAAATAATTTTCTGATAGATTTAAGTGTTTATATCTTTTGGTGTTTAAATTTTGGCCAAGATTTTTTGCAGTGTATTGCTTTGCCTGTAATGTTCCATAATAATGTATTTATCTCTATGGGGATTAGCAGGTGACCAGGCCATAAATGCACCACACCCCACCAGATTTACTATTTAGTTTCAAAAATAAATCTGGAAATAGCGACAAGAACAAATCTTTGTCTGAATTATTCTCAAGTACCACAGAACATACATTTTTCATCGTCTTCCTCAATAAGTTTACTTCAGTATAAAACAGGTCTGATTGAACTCACCCTAGACTTGGGAGGGGCAGGGGATACCTGAGAAAGAATTAGTCACACAAAGTTAGAAAGTTTGACAAACAAAGACAAGAAGAAAGTCAGCTCCACAAGAGAAGCAATTAACAACCAACATTTACATTTGGTCAATTATTCAAAATGACTTACAATGCTACGAAGGAACGTGACCACGGCGCTGTCTGCTCCCTTCTTCTTCTGAGAGGCTGCTGCTTTCTGAGGAGCAGGAGAGAGAGCACCTCGGAAAGAGCCCTGTGGAAAACAAAGGGGTACAACTGATACTTTGCAGAGATTTCATGCTGGGGGTGTTCTACATATATCTCTAAGGAGAAATGTTTAGGAGTTACCATGGAGACACAATTAATGCATTAACAAACAATGTCAAAGAAAGAAATGAATTTACACAGCACATTTTCAGTAGCCTATGATCAATGTGAGCATTCATAGTCCTGTTAAAGTGTTTGATTTTCAACAAAAAGTGGTAACTGAAAAACTGCTGGCTCATGCAAACTTGCTTGTGAATATAATTTTATGTGTGAGAGGCTTCTTTAACAGCAGAAATCAGCTCTCCTGTTGTAGTTCCAGCTATAATCAGTTCTCTGTGGTCGGATTGTGTTAAAATAGAGCTCAGATTCAATTCTAATAAAGCCTCAGACAGAGCAGAGCCTTCAGTTAGCTCCACACCCCTAGGGAACGTTGATGATATGAGCTGTAAAGTATCAGTAGATTTGATCCAAGAGCCTATGGGCAAGACAGTGCACAAGCAACATACAGGAATCAGATAGGATGATTGTGAATAAAAAAGCACCATACTCACCTGCTTGAGGCTAAAAACACTGCCAGATTTCCACAAACTGAATGTAATTTTGGCATAGACGTTTCAACAAGTATGAAATGTATTGATGACAAACTAGTCTATATTACACTTGTACACAGGGGAGTAGATGCTGGAGCATTACTTTGGATCATTGTCAACAGTGAAGAGTTTGCTCATGTGTTGCCAAAACATCATTTGTGGAGCCTTGCAATAAACTGAGTAGAGCAGAGTGTGTGGTTATAAGAGCGTATATTTCCCAACATGAGAAAGATATGCTATTATTATTATGATTATTATTATTACTATCTTTTGGTTATAGAGAGTGTGAGGGATACAACTGGCTCATTTATTCAACTGTCATTTAGCTCTGAAACCATCACCATTTAAATGTATGGTGCACTATGTAACTTTTCTGACACAGGTCCCAGATACTTGTTTCCATGGAAATGTTATTGCTTTGTCTGTAATGTACCAAAGGTATGGCATTAAAGATATAGAGACAAGCAAGAGCCAACACCAGGTCAAATTACAGGCGAGATCTGTGAAGAGGAAACCCTACTGACAGTCAGAATGCATCATTTGAAAAGTATTTTGGAGCAATAAAACCATCCATAACTGAATAAATGCATTTTCTAAGTTTAATATCATATTTTGGAACTTTACAGGCATAGCAGTAGCATCTCCATGGTAGCTGCCCCCTAGCCTGAAAAGTTACTAAGTCCATCTATAAAGCTATGGGTCAAGCAACCAAGACATTGAAGTGACCCCAGATCCTGCAGCTTTATTTCATTATGTAATTCATAATATGATATTTTGTTCACCTTTTCTTTTGGAAAACTTATCATGAAAGAATAAAAATAGGGAATAATGGTAGTTAAATAATTTAAAATAAATATGGGAGCTTGAGTGTAATAAAATATTAATAAGTAATTCTTTCAGACAGTTTCATTGCCAAGTTTTGGTGAGATACTTTTATTTTGTGAAGAGTTCTCTGAGGGATTGACTGTCTCAACAGCAGACAGATTCAGCGCTCAGAAATGGCAGTGAGGGGAATGCATGATAGTGATAAAATATAGTTGGCACTGGTGATTTACTTAAATTTATTCCACTCTATGCATGTGTACTTCAGTTTCAGCCAACATTAAAACAGATTGCTCCCATCAGTATATTCTTGATGCCAGCCCAAAGCTTGCTCTGGGAAGAGTCTAATGTACAAAAACAATCTCAAATCTAAATTCAAATCACGCTCAGCAAGGGGAAATTCGTTCTTCCTGAAAGAGAGAGGGCAAAGGGCACTAAATGTAATCAGAAAAGCGCTGAAAATAAGCAGTTGTGGGTTGTTCCAGTTCAAAGTGTCTGTGCCATTTGGACGCACCTTGTACTTAACCTCTCCAAACCTGCAACTGCGTGTAATGGAAATGAACTCTACTGGCATTGATAAATTCATGTAGTGACATACCTTATAGTAAATACATGGTATAACACACTGAAATAGCCAATAGCCTTTTACAGCCTACTGTGTAAACTGTTCTCATTGAATCGGATGGCTGCATGTCTATGTATGCCTATCAATATGTAAATGTCATATCCTACTAATGTGATCTTAGAATGCCTCCACCTTTACCACACAACTTGTTTTTTGGAGTACAGGAGGCACTATGGCTCACTGGATCACTAGATGTTAACCAAAGTTGTTGCTCAGATCCTTAAATGAACTAAAATGAGACCCAGGACTCACTTAAAGGTGCACTGTAACTTTTCTGGTCACCTGTTTGTCTCCATGGAGATGTTATTGTTTTATTTGTAATAACCCAGTATAACATTAAACATATCCATCTTCCTTTTACATCCAATCCATGGATTTTTATTGACCTAAAAACTTGCATTCTCACTGTGAGTGGGCTTGCCTCACCACATATCTGACATGTAACTTGGCCCTGTGGCGTCACCTACTTTCTTCCTAAAGATTAATAAGTGTAATACTGTGTGTATGGCATTACACTATGTGAGCATTCCAGGCAATATGTCCATGGAGAGAAGCAGGTGACCAGAAAAGTTACACAGTGCAACTTTAATATCAGATAATGTAAGAACGATACATTTTTCCACTTGTTCCATACAAATCAATGTACCCAAGTTTAGAGGGCTTTGGCAGGTATTTGCTTGCTATAGAAATACTCTCATGGTATAACAATTTAACAAACAAATTATTCCAATATGTTCTTTGTTCTAAATAAACTGTGCAAAAATGTGTGTTTACAAAAGGTTAGAAGATTACAAAATGTACTTGAATGCTATATACAAGGTGATGGTGGTCAATTGTATTTACTTTGTGGCACATAAACCTTGAAACAAAAACCTAGCATGAAGAAAGCTGTAAAAAACAAAACAAAAAACAGTTTATAATTTCCCTAATACGAATACATGCCACCTGCTGCCCACAGGAGTACAAGCTCATTTCCACCTCCAGGTTGAGTGTAGTCTTTTAGATAATGTCGCCTCCCTTGCTCATACTTTTTATCTGACCCTTTAATGGAGGTGTGAGTGTGAGTTTTGCACAGTCCATTATCTCACATCAAAGTAGTTTCAAGTAACCAAAAATAGACTCCATTTGCAGGCGGCGATATTGTTACTGAGTCTATATCATGGACCAGCAATTTGAGAGACAAAAGAAAAGAAGTTTGCCTGTGAGTTTTAAAGGAAAATTGTAGGATGGACAACAAATTGACCACTTCCTATTGTTCAAAATATCCTTTTCTTAAGAGCTTCAGTTTCATTCTAGTGTGGTCCATAATGATGCCTATTTGCAAGTGTGCGTCATTCTCCTGTGCTTTTCATAAGGGCGGGTTCTGATAACAGTGATATATTGGACACATGGACACTGAAAGACCAAGGATTCAAAACTAGTATGTCAGAATTAGATAGATGTACAGATAGTGCGCTATTATCCACTATGTTTCACACTGATACGGACTTCTGTCTTCTATCTTTGGCTATTTTGTTGCTCTTTTGTCTTTTTTTTTGTTTAGTTTTTTTGCCTATTTTCAATATCTGATCACCAAAACGACTCCCAGGAGGTTAAAGAATAAAAACAGGCTAGTCAGATGTTAATGTGATATTGAAAATGTTATATAATAGAATATAATGGTATCTATTTGAAACAGCAGGGTATCATTGCTGTGCCCTTTCGACTCTTTGATTGAGTGAGACAGAATAAATAGGGCACAGGTGCACCATGAATAAGTGAAAAAGCTCAGGGCTTGAGTAAAAGCAAAACAACCACAGCTGCAGTCTTTGGTGTCATTTTTTCAGCTCTTCAATAGTTTTATAGACGTATTTAAAGTTGTCTCATATGAAGTAAGAAAATAAATGTATTATTTAAAAGACATTATCTCAGTTCTGTTATGCTTCTTGTTTTGGGGCATGTGCCAAATGCCTTAACAGTAACAGAGGCAGTAGAGTAGACAGATTAATCCAAAATGTTACAAAGAAAGTAAAAATAAATAAATTAATTAATACATTAAAAATATAATGAGATTCATGTTTCGACATCTGTGCAACTTGGATTTGTGTCAACTTTTTGTTGCCAAGATTTCTGTAGTTTAACTCTAGAAACTTTGAAATGAAGAGATGAAGCCCTAGTCTTCTGCTTTTGACCTGCCACTCAATTCCACATGGGCAGCCTGTCATGAGCAGATCTTACCTCATAGATGGGTGACTTAGTTGAAAGAGTGCACATGTTTTAGGGTGATGGGAAACAGGAGAACTTGGAAAAGACCAAAACATCAATGTTGTGGGTTCAACCAAATGTCCGTCGAGTCTCTCCCATGCTGACCTGCCAGTCCCTCACTCTCCTGACCAAAAAAAGCTTTGAGTTTGGGGGAGATTTTACTTTCGCTAACAAGCACAACTAACTTAGTAACTAACTCTCCATCTCCTTCCTCATTCTAACTTCACAAACTAAACTTCTTCTCTCCACCTGGGACAAACAGCAGCCTAACTGTATGGCCATGTCTGGAGCGTCTCTTGTCTGTGGCATAATCATTTGTTAATAAGCCCTGAGTTCAGCTCCCAGCTGCACTTTTGACTTATAAATGTGTATGCAAACTTTATCTTCTGCTAAACTGTGTAGGCTCCCTCCCATCTGGTTATTATTCTCAATACAACAGAATAGCGGGGGAGACGAGTGCTGGCATTCGCTATTGTTATCAGCTTTTTAATTGACATATTCTGCCATTCTTCTTAGACTTAATGATAGGATATACATATAAACCCATACAGAGAATAAAAGATTAAAGGAAATTCTGTTATTTTTATTCTCTGACAAATATGCAAATCTCATTCAGTCCAATCTTGTTAAAAATTGAATGCTCTGAAAGGGATTATGCCAAATCTGTCCATGTTGGGAAGCTTACTGGCACTGTTGAAAGATTGGTAAATAGACTGGGCTTCAAATCCTGAACTATCGCCTACTCACAGCATGTTTCCACACACAATACCTGTCACTCAAAGTGATTTGTTTTCATAATGGTCGCTAAAGTAATCATTTTCTGGGTCGGTTTGACTGGCTGGATCAGTTTCTCGAATCCAGATACTGGAGAAAGGGAATGCTTTATACGTGATTGTGTTTTTTCTGAATCAAACCAATGTTGTAAAGGTTGTAATTATTGTTGACAGCAATCCATGAACAGTAATCCGAGAATTGCCCATCTGTGTTGGGACAGTAATCCAATCTCCCTCTCCTGTACAAAAGAATACAACATGCCCATCATCACCCATCTCCAACAATACCTTCTCAGCTCCCAGCTCTTCGAAACATTTCAGTCTCGTTTTAGCTCCCATAACTGCTCTGAAACAGCCATCCTGAAAGACACCAACGATGTTCTCTTCACTGCAGACTCTGGTTCCCTCTCCATCCTTCTCCTCCTCAGACCTTTGACACCATCGGCCACACCATCCTCCTCCACCGTCTACTGGCATCTTCAGCACTGCACTCTCCTGGTTCTTCTTCTACCTCTTTCTCACCACCTCGTCTGCATAAATGCAAATTGCACACCTCCCTTCTTTCTTCTGGTGTTCCCCAAGGTTCAGTGCTTGGACCCCTCCTCTTCATCATTACATGCTTTCCTATCTGTCACCATGGACTAATTACACTGATGATATTCAGGTTTTCAGCCCAGTCATACTTTATACCATCACAAACCTCAAAAGCTAGATGGACCACAACTTCCTTCAACTCAACAGCAATAAAACAAAACTTCTCATCACCGAACCCAATGTCCCCCCTTTCTTTCAAAGCTCACACCAGCCACCTGTCCTCCCTCTCTCACGACCTCCTCCAACCGCACTGTCCCACCCGCCACCTCAGATCAACCGACCCCAACCTCCGCACTCCCACTCGTCAGAACAAAGCATGAACCTCGGGGGACACCACCCACGCCCTTTGGATCTCAGAACTTCAAATCACTACTAAAAACTCACCTGTTCAGTCAGGTATTCCACCATGATTCCACCGATGTCTTCTTATTGTTTGTAAAGTGTCCAAAAAAGCTCTATACAAGTCAACTGTATTATTATGATTATTTTATTATTATGACATGATGTTAAAGGAGTAAGTAAAAAGTAAAACATGTTTAGATATATTAACAGATCTTTGGTTTCCTTTCAAGTGAGAGCCAATTTACAGGGAAAAACAGTGGAAACCTACGATATAATACACTTTGGAACAGTGCACAGTATCAACACCACTTGAAAGTTTACAGTACACCTTTAAAGCATTTTTCAGCTACAAAGCTAAAAATAATATTAATAGTTATGAGTTGTGTTGGGGATACAGTAAGATGACCTTTGACCCCTACTATCATTCACTGAAGTAATAGGCAACTCTTGTAAAACTCAACATAGCTTTCTATACTGATTTCTGTCGTGTCGTAGAACTAAAGATCCACATGTTTAAGGCAATAAACGGCTGTGATACTCAATTTGTCCAAAGAATGCTAAATGTTTGTCAATGTCATTCATGAGTTAGCCTCTTGCTTTTCAATTTGCAGAGCGCGGTGCTATGAATGTTCAGATGTGTTTCGTGTTTGTCTTAGCAACTGGAAAATCTGGCATTCACTTCTAAGTACTTTCCACAGAAGAAATTACATGCTTTTCTCTATTTTTTTTATACCTGTCTGTTTGTTACATTAATTTGTCTGTTCAAGTGAAGTTTATATTCAGTCAAATCAAAGAAAGAAGCTCTTTTCTTATCAATTCCCATATAATTTCTAGCAGTCATTCAAATGCTTCTCAGGTCTGTCTCCTCAAAACAGTCATTTAGCTTTACAAATCTGAAAATGTTTGTGTTTTTATTGAACACAACTTGCAAACTTTGGATATTTCTCATGCGCTAGTACTTTTAACATACCCCAAAATACAACATTTCTCAGACCAATAAACCCATTTGCCTGATCTTCCCTTTGGTCATGGTCAACTTACTCCTACATTTAATTTAGGATTAGCAATTTTAAAACTTTATGCTACTTTAGTTTAGACCGACACCAGCAGAAGAAATGTTAAATGTGTCTTTTTGTGTAGCTCAGTGTTGCATGACTGGATCCCATGTTAGGATGACTTTCACCAGCTGTTAGGGGACACATTAGAAGTTTGGTTTTAACACATGGACACATCATCAGCCAAGTTTATTAATAAAACAAAACAAAAAAGGCATGACAGATGTTGTTAAAGAGGTTTAATCAAGCAGTAATAATCAAACACTAAGAACAGAATCAGGTTAGGAACAGCGAATACAAACATATATAGAGAAATAACAAGGCTTTTTAGTACAAATCTGGTTTTAAACAGCTTTCCAAAGAATGTGGTCCTGAGGTGAGCTCGGAGATGTTTGGGAGAGAGGCCCCTCCACTTTCAAGACACTGGAGTGACTGACCGTACAGTTAGTACTTCTGCCAAACCCAAATTTTACATCAGTGATTTTGTCTGCCTTTCAACAGATGCAAACTGAGCCAGAAAATATGCCAATTTTTCATATTTCTGCATGAAAAGCTTATTCTTATGCAAAGTGTATTTCTTTTTAATGACAAGATAATGAAGCTTTTAATTAGCTTTGGCTTTGTGATGCAAATTAACCCACTCTTTGTTTTTGACATCCTGAGATATTTTTCAATCATTTTTGGTATAATTTCACTTTCACTAAAAGACAGCTGTAAGCATTCATTTTTGATTCGAAAATGTTCTAATTACAACAAAGAACCATAAAATATTTTTAACCTAGCAAAAAATGTAAAAGAAAAATACCAAAGCAGCATGCATTTTTAAACACAGAAAATAAGGGTATGGTACAACACTGGCGTACATAGGCAGAAGGTGGCATCTCCATTTCACATAATGGTAGTGTAATACGTGTGCACTGTTGCCCATAAGAAAAAAAAAAAGTGTATATATACAGTTACTATATGTATATAGTATATATATCATCCATAACTATTAATATGCCTACACATCCCGAAATATCATAGCAATTATATTAGATGTATTTAAGAGGTAACTGATCTCTATCCAAATCAAATGGTTATTAAAAATGTCACAGTTCAGTCCATTGTCACATTTTCCCCTTAGAATCCAACAGTAACTACAAAAATCTCCGCTCCCAAAAAAGTTTGAAAGTTTTCAGTTTGAAGAATAGCAATTTACTTTTTACAATTTTACATGTTTGTAAATGTTCAAGTTATTGTCAAATCAAACATTGATTTCTCCGTAATTTGCCACAGAGACGCTGATACCACATTTTGCCTTTGTACATCAGATTTTTTAGTAATACTGCACTGATGGAAGTTTAAAAATCATATGTGAATGTTGGCACACAAACAGACAGAGAGGCAGGTTGGGTTCAAAGTGAGGCTAAATCACAGCTGTCTCCATAAAAAAGCTGGAAGCTAAAAAATTTGTTTGTGTTTGTGAGGTGGAGTGAGCCTTCTCGTCTCTTATCTGCAACACCAACACTAATCATTAGAAGGCAAATCCACGGTGAATACATAAACACAGATTAAACAGCTCTTGTTTTTCTAAGTAACAACAGCATTAAAGTGGAGAGCAGCAGACAGTTTTCCTGGCACCAAAAATACTGCAGCAGAAGTTGGTCATAGCCTTAGCTACGTAGTCAAAAATCACAACTTGTTCTGACATTTCCCTGAACAATCTCAAAGTAACATTTCATAAGACTGATTCTGGTAAAAGCATTTGCAAAATATATCTTTTTATTCCTGAATTCTCAACTGCGTTTCATAGTTGAAGTAGACTGTGTAAGGCAAGAGGGAGTGCATATTTTTGTTCATTATATTTAAACTTTTTCATATCTCTTTATTGTTAACAAAATATGAGCAAAAACCTAAAGTATTCTGTCCTCAGCTTTAAGGTTGATGTCTTTCCTTGCACTGCAGACATGATGGTATTTTCAATAACAGACAGGAGTTTAGTTAACACATGCTGTTCTAGCCATAAAGTTTCAATATAACTCCAAAATAGCTGAGTGCAAGCAAATCCCACATAGAGAGGAGTAATTATGGTGGATATTTGCAGCCAAAGCTACAGTATATTGTGTGCAAGCCGCCATTTAGATGATCCCAAAACTAGCTCAGACATCTCTGTATTCTCTTTTGAAATTAAAAAAGCAGTTAAGCAAAATACTAGTTGGATGTCTTGCACCTTCTTGTTTACATTCCCTGTGGCTTCCAATCACATTTAATGGCGTAGTGTTCATAGCTGAAAGCCATTGATTGTTTCATTGTAATATAGTCATTACCTCTTTCAACAGGGGACTAAATTATTCAATTGTACAGTGTATCTATGAAGACTTTTACCAGAACACCATAATGAGTCACACTGGAGAAATCTTTGCAATCTCATTAGGAAGTACCATAAAATAGCTGTGTGCCAAACTGCTCTTTTATACTCGACAAACTCCGTCACAAACAATGCCAACATTAATTTAAGACTAAAGCATTTTCACAATAAAATTCTACTTGAAACAACATTTCTTCTCGTGTCAGTACCTTTCAAAATTATACAAATAGAAATTATAAAGAAAATCAGTAGCCTGCATTCAACATGATTGAATAAAAATGCAACCCCGCCCCAAGTCGTTCAAAGTCCAGTTATAACCTCTTTGTGGACAATGTCTTGGCAACTTGGGGGTACCATCAAACGAAAACAAAACTTAAAATATACAATAAAACTAAAAGAAGGTAAAAGTGGTTCTGAGAGTGATCGGCAGGTGGTGTCCTGCTACCTCACCTTGCTCTTCTTCTTTTTGTCCCCTCCAAAAATCTTTCCAATGTGATCCAGGACTCCGGGGTTCTTCTTGCTGCTTGCGGAAGCCATGGTGCTATAATAGTAGTAGTCTGTGGGTTTGTATTGGTCAAAAGTGGCTCGTTTTGGAGGAGGGAGAAGAGATTAGCGAGGAGAGGAAGGGTTAAGCTAAGCCTACTCTAGGTCCTGTTCTGGGCTCTCCGACCCGCACTCCGAAGCCGCTCCGCTGTGCTCTTGGATGGTCTGCAGCTCGTCCGATTCGGAGGGTCGCTCTTTGAAGGTGTTGTCCTCCCTCCCCGGGGCATCTCGGGAGAAGAGGCGTACCAGGTGGGGGCGTGGCGTGGCTTCGTCAGGGTCAGCTGTAGTCGGGGGGGTCCCGGGAGGATGGGGGCCCTCAGCGCCCGTGGAGTCAGTCACCGCCGGCTTCTTGGAGATGCAGCCATTGTTCTGGTTGGCATCTGCCTCACACAGGCCTAGGCGAGAGACAAAAAGGGTCATCTATGGCACACAACACACTGTACACAGGACAATGGGCTCTCTATATAGTCTGGGGCTAACTACTGCAGCTAGCATTTTTCATATTTCAAATCAACTAAACTTGCCTGATGGAGAGCTATAACTTTGCTAACTACTTTATTTCCTATTATATTTTCTTGAACAAACCATCACAATTGTTCTCTTTTGTCTCATTGGTTTCCTGTATTGATTGTCTATCCCACTAATTATGGGCTGTAGACAGGACACATCGAGAGCATTGTGCATTTTATTTTAACAGAGAAAAATACAGAAAAAGACAATATTTGCTTTTTGACAACCTCCATCACCTCAGAGTAATCATGAGAAGGCCAATCCAAAAATCAAACCTTTCTGCTGGACTGCAATTGCTCTAACTATTAAGGCGCCATCACCCCAGGACACTGATACTTCTCTATGTGATGATAAAAGGAAGTAGAGGGCATTGAGAGTATTTCAAATAACTGCAGGGGGGCAAGACACAGGAAAACTCGAGGGCACAGGGCAGTTAGGGTTATGGCTTTCAATTGTGTTTTTCCATCGGGCCTATCATCTCCACCATCAGCGGCATGTCCCGGCATATTGAGCCCATTCATTTAGGAGCAGAGCTATTCCTCAAATGTCCACAGTTGACAGCTATCCATTAGGCTCCCACCGCCAAGGAGAGCATCCAGTGCATTCCTGCCCTCACACAATCTCCTCACTGTGCTAGCAGAAATGGCGTTGTGCTACACCAGGGAACTTGCATGCTAATATCAGCCTAACAGTGGGCTTGTTGTTGAGTGCCACATAGTTATGACAGAAAAAACAATGGCGCTTGTGTCACAAAAATAACTCCTATAAGTAAGACTTTTCACCAAGATGCACAGTGATACTTATCGGGTTCGAGGCGAGCTGGAGTTGTTGTTGCAGACAGCCCTGCAAATGAGATCTCCTATTATAATGAGCTGGTTTACTAAACTTTTTTGCATCAAATTAACAAAAATCTATATGTGGGTGGACAAGTCAGTCTCCTCTTGAGGGCTGATGCAAACTTTTAAAAACAAGCCCAGACTGTCTTCAATTCCTGTGAGACAAAAGCACAAAAAGCTTGTACAGCTAATTGGTTTGAGGGTTAGGGAGAGATGATCTAGTACACTACATGAAGCTTCACAGTATAAGTAACCAGTAGACTTAGTGATATGAAGTATGCACAATGGGTAGTGCCAACACCTGCTCTTTTATGGCTTTCTGGTTCATGGGGAAATTTTAATGTTATTAAATCAAAAAGGAATTATTTCCACAGAAGATAATCCATAATTACATGTTGCCATCCTGGGAATAGTGTTGTTGCAATGAGTACACCATACATTGAACCATTTGGCTTTAAAAACTAATAAAGATGTTTCTGTCAAATCAGCTGTGTCCTCTTTCTCATATCATTTGTCATATTGCGAATCATACCGTGAATGTTATTTATTTATATATTTATTATTCCATACATGCACCTTGATGTACATATGTGTCTGGATACTGTACTCACACATTTGCTTTAGTTCTTCCTACATTCATCATTGTAAATGCAAACATAAATAACAGTGCTGTATTGCATGCTGTGTGTGTAACATATACAACTCACAATAGTAATCCCTGACATTGCATTCTCTATTATTTAGCACTCAACGCTTCTGTCAGTGGAGGCAGCCTTGGATCCACACACAGCGCTGACAACAAGTGTGTTTTTGACATGTTTATACTGTTGTGTGTAGACGGTGCTGTCTACCGCAAAATTAATCAATATTTCTTTCTGCTGAATTTGGCAACGAGACACATGGGGCTAAGCAGCAAATACAAGAAACTATGGACCTGAGGCAGGCTTATATAACAACCATTTACTCTCATATTTGCTTCTCTAATTGGAGGAGAGTAGGAAGATATACAAGCTCTACAGATTGTTTATTTACTTCTTCTAAGATGTATACTTTAGTCATATATCCAGTTTGTCAAGTAAGAATCCTACTGTGGTCTTCCCCAGTGCTGTTTCAAGGGCATTTTGATTTAATTTAGGCTAAATGTTCACTTTATATTTTTGTTGTTTGCTGCACTAACACATGTTGATTAATGTGCACTGTCCCATATTTAATAAATAAGCATAAAATATGAATCCACTAAGATTTTTAAGTTTTTTACACCATTCACTGACCTTTTACCGACCTTTTATTTCGATTTCCTGTATTATCATCCATCTGCAGGACCAGTTCCACCCACCCGCATTTCATTGGTGCTTACAAAACTCAAATATTGAGCCATGATGTTTACAATTCCTGGTTCGTGCTGTGGAGATGTGCTAATGACTGAGACCGTTGGCGTGTCATTACAGGTGCATTATGGATGTGTCCAGGGATGTTTTTGTTGGGCCTCTTGATCACTGAGCGTGACTCACCAAAAAGGTGGCCTGGGCGTTGTGTTCTCAGGCTAATCACAGTCCAACTGCTCTTTAGTCTGTCATGCAAAACAAATCCCAGAAGCTAAATGTGGGCCATGAGTAACATCTATAACCATAAAAATACATAAAACACTTCAACATTTTATGACCAAAATGCAGTAAAAACCAAGCAATATCTTTCATTTGTTTTTCCCATGGGTGTCTGAAGCTTATGCCAGCATCTAGTTTAGTCTTTTGGTGCAGTAGAACAGGGACATAGGACACATTCACACATAGTAACTCGCATAGCATTTTAGAGCACACATATTAAGACTAAGTATGGATCGATTGTTTCTCTCTACCTCCTTGCCTCAATCAATGCATTAGCCATCACTTTAAATCAAAGATCCACTGACGCATTCACGCAAACATTCATACACAGGGGGTGAGGGGTCTTGCTCAACAACACAACAACCATATTTATGTGTGGAAGCTGAGGTCACACTGCCAAACTGTGGACCAGTGGTTCTCATTGCTCCAACAATATATATATGCGAGGAGCAAGATTTGAACCTCCAAACTTTAGATCAGATAACAGACCAACTGAGCTATCATCCCCCGCTGCATGGCAATAGACAGTGTGTGACCTGAATAATATATAAAAATATTTGTGTACTACAGAAATTGGGGCTACATCTCTCATTCCAATCTCGATGTTTTTTTCCACATAAACTATATATGTACTGTGTTCTTGTAGCCATGAAAAGCCCTGGGTTTGGAAAGAAATGAGCATCAAATATTGGTGTGGAGTAAGCACAAAAGCCCAAGGATGAAGTGTGCTTTTGTGGGGAGGGTCCACACAACACGTCGAACAATGGTCCATGGAAGTGCAGTTAATGTGGTATGACGGAGACAGCAGGCTGGGAAATAAAACTGAAGGGCGAGATGTGGTGTTGTTTGTCTGTTGTGTTTACTGAGGAGATCTGGAGGACGCATAGGTAGTAAATGTATAAATAGTACTGGACTTGTCTGTAAAGTGTAGCCATTAAACTAACAGCTTGAGGCTAAAGAGAGAAAATGGCTTGAAAATGCAGTTGTCCTTGAGAAGATCACCAGAAGCATCAACACTGTCATTTTGAATGTTGCTTTTATAGCCATTATTATAAGCTTGAACTATGGCGAAAAGGGTAACATAAGGTCTATAGACTGGCACAGTGTATGCATCTGACCGAGCACAGATAAGATAAGAAATAGGTCTGTCAATATAATTACTATATTGACTTATTGTTCAATGTATGAAGGATGGATTAAATAATGATAAAGGGAATATGTTAAAATCTTAATGAATTCACAGTGAATATATGATCTTCCTGCCTATTGTTAGAACAACAATTCACAGCTCTACTCATTCTCCCTGTTAACTTTCATTGTTATCTCTGTACTTATGCCTGCCAGACACACACACACACACACACACACACACAGAAAAATACGGTGAGATGAAAGAAAGAATATAATGGTCTAGTCTTTGCATATAACATTATCCGTATGCTCTTTTGTCACATCCTTCTTCCAGACGTTCACCAAAAGGATTCAAACCCAGCTTTGTAAACAACACTAAGGGCCAATTACCTGGCGGTGTGGAGCACAGCAGAGATGGAGAGGCAGGGGTTCCATCCTTCATAAATACTAAACTTTATTTATGCGCACATACCCCCAGGGTCCTTAAAGCCACCTCACAGGAGCAGCAGAGGTAGCAGCATCCACTTATTGGCTCAAAAGCACACACAGTACATATGTAAAACACTTTTTAAACTTGCTTTTTATTGTCAGAAGAAACGCTATGTTACCTAACAACAAGGTCAAATCAATATTTCTGTAGGAGGTAACACGATAAGCACTTAGACTTAGACAAACTTTATTGATCCATGTGGAAAAGGAAAGGAAAATTTTTTGGACCCAGTGGCTCACACATCACAATATAATTTAATCTTACAACAAAGAGCAAATATATTATTGTTAATAATGAAAATACTGAAACACTGAAAATAAGTAGCAAAATAACAAGAAATAAGCATCAAAGTGTAGTGATTTGAAGTGCAGGGCCAAAAGGAGTCTATATACAGTATATACTGATTATGCTTCATTCAAATGGATATACCTATGGGAGAGATTGTCATGTGATGTTTATCTGAAAAA